CCCAGGCAGTGCGGCCTGGGGAGCGAGTCCCTGGGGGCAGCTGCTCCCGTGCCTACAGAGACCCTTCAGGGAGCCTGTCCAGTCGTGACGGGGGTGGGGAGGGACTCAGCACAGAACAACCCTAAGCAGGGTGGAAAGGCTGCTCTCTAAGTTATGAACCTCCTCTGAGGATTCAAACACCAAGAGTCACTGCCTTTTAATATACAAAGTAGAGGAAAAGTCAGCCCAGAGCCTCCTTTAGTGACTTCACATAGACTCTTTCTTCCTTGAAGAAAGAACAAGATGAGCGTAGTACCAGGAGAGGGAGAAACAGCACAGGGGTTTTAACTTTTTACTCGGTTTTCTCTTTTTTTGGTGGGGGAGGTACTTAGGTTTATTTATTTATTTACTTTTTAGAGGAGGTACTGGGAACTGAACCCAGGACCTCGTGCATGCTAAGCATGTGCTCTCCCACTTTGAGCTATACCCTCCTCCCTTAACTTTTTACTTGTGATTGTACATCTTTTAACTTTTAACATTTTCATTAATGCTGTGCCTCGCCTTTCCTGTCTGTTCTTAGATGGAAAACCTCCTTCCACCTCGCTCATTCCTTTCTTCTCCTTGTCCCTGTTCCCTCCAGAACCCCCCATTCTCCCAGCCAATGACCCAGAAATCTGAGGCCACTTTTCTAACTTCCTTCTGTTCTCCTCACTATGAACCTTTGCTTGTTCACATCTACTCCCCTCTGGTTTCTGAAGAAAAGTTATCACTGCTCCTTCCCAAAGCCAACACTTGCCCCTCTCCCTGGATCTCCAAGCTTCCCTTCTTCCGAACTCTGATCCATCCCTCATTCCCCGTCACTCACATCTTGGATCCTTCCAAATCAACTGATTTCTGGGACTCTGTGAACATGTTCACACTTCAGTCACCATAAAACGATTCTTTTTCAGTGTCTGCTCTTGCTCAAGTGATAGTAAACCAACCCGCCCTTCTTTGTAAGCCCCTTGAAAGAGCAGCGCGTTCTCTCCACGCACACGGCACTCGTCTCTGACCTTCTACCCACTGAAGCTTTGCTTCTACCACCATGGCTGAATTCAAACTGCTTTATTGAAACGTCCAACCATCTTCCAATAGTCAAATGTAATGACCTCTTTCCACCCTTTGTTCTGCTTAGAAAGCCCACACCTCTGCTGTAGGTGCTGCTCTGCAGAACATCCGATTACCTTGTCCTGAAAGATCCACCATCCTCTGGTGTCCGGTTTTGCCATCAAAGAGCTCCATCACGTACTTCCCTTTGTCGTTCGGAGTGGGCTCGTTGATTTGCAGCCAGATCTGCTCCCCGGTGACCCCATTCTTAACTCTGTCTGAGTACTTAATAGCATTCCCGCTGTTCACATCAACAGAAAACATCGTTATCGTCCGCTTTCATCCAGAGCTTATCTTTACTTTGTCTCTTATTGAAGTTTTACAGACTTTCAAATAACATGAGATCCACATCTGTTCCCCCGCTTCAGAGAAACTGTGGGCCCTGAATCACAGCACGCGGATTCCAAGGCCTGAGTCGGGGCCGGCAGTCTGCATATGCAGCTCCCAACAGCAGCCTGGGGCCCCGGCAGACTGCAGCACCAGAGCTCCAACACGGTATTCATTACCTCTGGTTTTGCTTGGGTTTATTTGTAGGACTAGGGAATCTTTACAGTGAAAAGGCCAAAGTGCACATTGTATGACTGCATATTTCACGCAGATGGTCTATAGCTATAAATGGGATTTTATGGGCTAGTTAAAAGCAGACCTAAGGAGGTTCGTCTGTGGCTGGCATCTGTTGACACTCACGGTTACAAAGCTATTTAAAACAAATGTGGACCTGCACTCGGTTGTAAGGCCAAAAGTAAACGAGAAGCAGAGCTGCTGCCAAAATGAATGAGGCACCTTCTCTGTCCCTGGATGGGAGTTCCCCCGTGTGCTACAGGAGGTCACGTGCAGACCCATGCACTGCAGTCTTCACAAGAGATAAAAGCAAACAGACCCTTTGTTTTGTGATCGGACGGTCCAGAAATGCTGATACAGATGAAGTAAGACAAAGGCAGAGGCAGTGCACTCTCAGTGATGCTGATACTCTATGAAGAGTTTGTAAACATGCGAGGAAATGAGAAAAAAAAAAGGGCAGTATACAAAACTGCAGTAACAATTATGAATAGAGACAAGACAGGAAGGAAGTGCCCCAAAATGTTCATACTGTGGCTAGGGAAACCATGGATAATATCATATTACAAACTCTCTAGTGTATAATATGATATTAAGCATATTTTCTGGAACAAGCACATATTATGTTTGTAGTTGTAATAAACAAAATAAACCTAAACAATGAAGAACAAAAAATCTCCATCAAAAAATTTCAGATTTCAGATAAATATGCAGCATTTTTCTTATATACTATATTCTTTAAAAGCTGTTAAAAATTAAAGTGCCATAAAATGCAGGGTAAAGGAGCCCACTCATACCCACAGACCGTAGCCTGAGCTATATGTCCCAGAGTTAGAAGGACAGACAGTTTTCCGCTTTGCTGAGACAAACCTGTTTGAGTGTTTTCATCTCTGGCCGACACGCATAATAGTACCTTATGTTTGTAAAGTACTTCACGGTTTACAAAGTGCCACTAATTCTCTCGTTGGGTCCATCAGTGTTATGAGATAGAACAGGAATTATTGCTCCTCTTTTATACGAGAGAAACGTGAGATTCAGAAAATTAGGTGACTTGCCTAAGATCCAAGGGAAGACAGGAGCAAAGTCAAGACCCAACCCATTTCAAGGTTCTTCTGCCTTACAGCGCATACATACATGACCACAGGTAAGTCAGTCAGTCCTTGCTTCCTGACCCTCTCACAGGCACCCGTCCGTGTGCACACAAAACACTCGTTCAGCTGACTACACCAAACAATGTGAGAAGTTTACAGCTTGATAGTCTGACAGTAGCTTCCTCAGAACCCCGTGTTCTAATCTTTTTGAGCAAGAAATTCCTTTAGAGATGATGTAAAGGCTTTTGATTAATGATTCAACTAATTTATCATCCCTTATTCTTCAGACTGATGTATCAAAATGTCCTAGATGTTACAGAGGAATTTCCTATAATTTGATCTATTTTAACTTGTAATTACTTTCCTAAAATGTATTTTGAAAGAAACAGAACAAAGGAATACAACTCCAAGCATTCAAAATGGAATTTCACTTGTTCTCAGTTGTTCTTTCTAAAGAACTCAGGAAATGAATAGTAATAACAATAAATGTAATGACATACTGTTCTACATAACAGTAAAGCCATTTATTTTTATTTATGTATTATTGAACTATATAGTTGATTTATAGTGTTGTGTTAGTTTCAGGTGTATAGCAAAGTGATTCAGTTATACACATATATATTCTTTTTCAGATTCTTTTCCATTATAGGTTTTTACAGGATATTGAATATAGTTCCCTGTGCTATACAGTAGGCCCTTATTGTTTACCTATTTTATATATAGTAGTGTGTATATGTTAATCTCTAACTCCTAATTTATCCTTCCCCCCACTAAAGTCATCTTACAGAAAACACAAATGACTGTTTTGTGGGACCCAGTTCTGGTTAAATGGTCAATCCAGACTTTTAATGCAGCTTGAACCGGGGGCAGTGCTGTGATGGGGTGCTCTGGATCCAGGCTGCCTGGTTTCAGCCCTCCACCTACCACTTAACTGTGTGACCTTGGGCAAGTCACCTCCCTGAGCCTGAGCTTCCTAGTCACTAAAATGAGAAATGTGTGCCTCACAGGCTTTGAATATTAAATGAATTCACACATCTAAAGGGTTCAGAGCAGTGCCCAGCATACTGCAAATGCTCACTGGAGGGAAGATGTAAATAAACACTGTTGTCTGGCTCCTCCCAGTGATGCCTCAGTGACCTACTGCTCAGGGGGGCCCAAAGGGACTTCGGGAATGAGTGTCCGCTGCATCCCAAGAGTGGACTGAAGGCGGCTGTGCCCCACCAGATCTCCATGGCAGCCTGCTGTTCTCTTTCAGCTCAGGAAATTTCAAGGAAGCACAGAGGTTAAGGACCCTGTCAATGGTGTAAATGGGAGAACTGGTTTGACTTAGAAACCTATTTGAGCTCTTGGAATCTCCAAGGGAATCTTAAATGTAATCCCTCTATAACTGCACAAAGGAGGTGTGGGATTAGAACAGCTCTTCAAGCTCAGTCTAGTTCAAATACACATTCCCAAAGTCATCTTCAAATCTCCAAAGCCTTCCGAGGGTGGACGGGAAACATGCTAGTGCCCAACTGCGCCAGTTGCTGCAAAGGACAATGATAAACTCAGGCACCGCTCTGGGTCAGGCTTCTTGGGTCAACGACCATTAACTCACACGACAGGAAATTTGGTACATGCTGCTTCAGTTTTGCACAGCATGGGTTAGGCGTGTGTAGAAGGAGACGGTAAGAATCTGGCAAAGCAGAGAGCCCAAGCTCGACTGTCTGGAGGTGGAGGTCACATTACAGAGGCGTCTACGAATTATGATACGTCCCAGATCACAGAGTCAGGTGCTGCCAGCCACCACCAGCCTCATCGTGCACGTGCTGGGGCAGAGCGCTAACCTCACACTGAAGGAACAGCCTGGCTCTCTCTGTCCTCTCACAACATCAGTAGGTAAGACAAGGCCTTACCTGGGGGGAACAGAGGGTCGTTGCTCTTTTTCCCAGTTCTTCCCCGGAGTGGAGAAAGAATTTTTACACAGCAGTTAAGTTTTTATTTACTTACTTGTGGGACCAGTTAACTTTCAGATCGTCCAGGTAGTAAGTAACTAAAGAGTACAGCCGGATGCCCTCAGCCGTGCTCTGGATCTTCAGGTTTGTCGCAGACAACGCTGACAGAAGAAAACACATGTTTCACACACCTGTAAGCCCATCCGGGAGGAGAATGAAGCCCTGCCCGGCGAGGACTCACCTATTGCTTTACAGACTTCAGTCATCAGCTCTTTAAAGGCTGTGGATAGAGGTTCACAGACAAAGCTTTAGGACAAAAATGTTCAACGGCAAGTCAGATCGCAAACTGTGAGTCACACGTGCTCTCAGAAACATCCTGTCTGGTGACGGGTATTGGTCACCAGGAGAATTTACTGACCAATTGGTAACAAGTGCTCTTTGAGGAGAGAACTCAATTTTTTTTTACCAGTTTTAAAAGATTCCTGCTCTTTGATTATTTCTGTTCCCTTGAATTCTTTGTAACTGTCACCGAATTTACATTCCAGAGAAAGAGCCACAGTGAGATTTCCAGGAAGGTTCTCGAGTTTAGGATTCTCGTCTTCTTAAGTCCCAGGAAGGTTCCCTTTACATTAGAGGAAGTTTTCTTATCTGTGTCATCAATTCATGATGAATTAGCCACCTAGGTTCCCTGGTATTTCTCAACCTCATGATGCCTTTTGCCAATAAACACATTTAGTCCTGTCTGCACCAAGAGCAGGAAGGTAACACCAAAGGCAAACTTCTGCAGTTTGCTAGCAATGTTGTTAAAGATCTGGTTCAGGAACAAAATTGGAGGTTTGGGCGTCACATGTAGGGTTTTGTTACCACGATATACTTGTCCTCAGTGGTCTCTGGAAGAAGGAAGTTGCTTTCTCACTCTGCTTCTGAGAGGCTTTGAGTTTCATATTTAATCTTTCTTGCCAGGTTTAAAGAGTGGGCTATTTTGAGATGCACTTTTCATGGTAGTTTTTGATCCTGGAACTTTTTTTTTTATAGGATTGAAACAAAAATGATGACTTCTATTGAAAACAGACCTCTTGTGGATTGTGGTCTATAAATTCTCTGAGGATCAAAACTACACTTCTGATTTCAAGGAAGACTAAAAGTGAAGTATTTTGAATAAAACAGTAGTTCACCCTGCTGGAGTTTCAATTAGAACAAAATCAGTGGACAAAAGATCAGCATGACCTTGATCATTCAGCTCAGCCTCACTCAGAATCCTGGCAACCTGTATCTAGAACACACAGAACAGACCCCAGCAGTTGGTGGACTGACCTTCATCCACAAGCTTCAATCTGCTCTTATCCTTTCCTCGGTCGTCTGTCAGGATAACTTCATAAATCCCAGCATCTTTCTTGGAAAACTAAGGGAGGGGGGAAGAGTTGCACACATTGCAGCTTATCAGAGCCTCAGAGTACGGTGTTTGCATTTTTCAGGCCCTGTGATTTATAGAACTGCCATCAAAACACACTGAACAAGCATCAAGCCCTGGGAGCAACGAACAGTTCACGGATGAACCATCCAGCATAACACGGCCAGTAAGCAGTCCTGACTGCTCACCCCTTAAGGCCACAACTGACCCGAGGCTTAAAGTCCTTATCCTTTACTCTGCCTTCATATTAAAAGCTAATGATCGCAAGTATTTGAAAGGTATGCTCTTTTAGACAAAAAGTAGATAAAAATCTATACTTAAATGAATACAACGTCTGATTGTCTCTGTATTTTAGGGAACAAGGTATCATGAGGCTTAAGAGCAAACAAAGAAGGGTCCACTTAACTACCCTGCCACTCACCCGTCTATGAAAAAATGCAGCCCAGAGAGGCAAGAGCCGTGGTATCTCGCCAGCACTGGTTGGATATCTGACAAATCCACACGTCTCGCAGGGGAGAGAAGCTTTTGTGTCCTTGCTGTTTGGGTGATGTCAGGGCAGGGATATGCCCAGGGCAGAGGACCACGTAATCTAGTGTTTAGAAGAACGTGGGGCACAGAACCTACATATTACATTTCACATTCATAGTCACCTACCTCTGTTATTAGGAGGGTACATATACCATCCTTAAAGTCATGCTTTTCATCCACCGAGATCTCCCTGTCATCTTTATACCACACAATATGAGTCTCTTTCTTAATGTTTGCCACCTAGAAGAAAAACCGTAGTTATACTTCTTGAAATAAAGGAGTGCCACCCTTATGAAACTAAATAATTCTTAATGTAGCTTTGGATATAAGGAAAAGGTATAGATCTCTAGAAGAATCAATTGAAAGCTATTTTTAAATTGACAGAGAGTTTAAAGTAATGTGGATATAAACAAATAAACCTAAATCAATAGCATTTCTGTTTCAAGCAGAAAAAAAAACTGACTTTAAAATCATCTGCTGGACAAGAAAAGGAAGCATAGAAACATACACACTAACATACAGACCTAGTAAAATAAAAATTTGAAAACCGAAGGAAGACAAGTCCCATCAAATTAAAATATAGTCTGTGTCACAAAGACAAATGACTTCACCAAAGTGATGGGGTGAGCAAGCCCCAATCTATAGCTAAATATTTTTAAAAGACAAATAAAACTTAGTGAATAAATGTGGAGAGGAAATATGTTTTAAATTTTTTAATTAAATTTTCCCCCAGTTTTATTGAGATATAGTTGATATAACATATCAGTTTAGGATATACAACATAATCATTTGCTATATGCATATGTTGTGAAATGATTACCACAGTAAGCTCAGCTAGCATCCATCAAGTCTGGTTTAATAAATTAATTGCTTAGTAATTTTTAGGAAACTCATTTAGATCCTATATCCACACATCATATCATAAATTTCAAATGGGCTAAATGACCTCATATGATTAAAAGGATCTTAAGCCTTATCTACAAGGCTTGCACTTTTTTATGAAGAAGAGCATATTCATGTGTTTCTTGTGTAATTAAAATTGGACAGAAAAGTAAAGACGTCCCACAAATCAAGAAAACAATCTTAAATAACTGGACAAATGTACAAACAATTTCCCAAAGAGGAAATATAATTACAAAACAAACACA